CCCCATATAGAGTAATGCAAGACTCCTGATGCCATAACTGCTTCATTAGCCATTCTATAGCTAATGGCTCACCCCATACTAACAGCATAACAGACAGAAAGCCCAGTTCACTAAGATATATTACATGTGTTATTAGCTATAACAGTTGATACATCCAACCATGTTTTGTTGACATTGGCTCTCGTTGCTGGTAATAATGGCCATTACTGCAAAAAAAGATTGCTATATCAAAGCAAATTGAGATTCCAGGCTGAGAAAGGACAAAAAAAAATGTAACTTAAAAAAAAATGTTTTTTTGTTTTTTTCCCGCATTTTATTACATTTTTTTTAAAAATAATAAAGTACTTTGTCTGATTTTGTGGACATTAATGTCATCATTAAAATGGACATTTCAGTAACTACAAATGTTTGCATGAATACATTTCTGACTTTTCACAATAAACAGCAACAGTTCTATTTTTTAAAGAAAAAAAGTGCATTTCACTATGACAAAACCATCCTTAGTAATTGTACCTAGGCTGAGATAATATCATCAGTCTGTTGGAGGTAGGAGAAGGATTTAGCCTGCTTTTCCCCAATGATCCAACTACACCATTGTAAGCCTGTAGCAGGTCACAAGCAAAGAACTGCCCATGCACCAGGACTTCCATAAGTGCCATTTCTGAGCCAGAATCTCAGTCTAGTATGTAGATGCTGACCCTTGATGATATCTGAACAAAGATGACTCCATTCTTCTGGAGTGAAAAACAGACAAAAGCATTGTCAGGGGAATATTGTGATCTTTGCAAGAAGCAACAAATACCCGTAAATGTTACACTTATGCATTACATAGCATGCTTGCATAAATCACGAAAATATATACAATATCCGATACTAGGTACACTTTACAGTGATTGCAAAGATGTTTTTTTTTTTTATAACAAACATTATACTTACCTGCTCTTTGCATTGCTTTTACACAATGCAGCTTTTCTGACCCCCTTGCTCTCTCCCCCTGCTGAGTTCCCCCCTAGAAAGCCACTTGCTATGGGAGCACTCGTGCATGCTCGCTCCCGAGCCCCTATGGACACACAGAGTGTGGCTCAGCCCCACCTCCCTGCTCCCTTCTCACTGACTGTGATTGACAACAGCAGAAGCCAATGGCACCTGCTGCTATCTCTCAGCCAATGAGAAGGGAGAGAGCCGGGAATGCCTCTGCTCTCATGCACATCGTTGGATCGAATTCAGGCTCAAGTAAGTATTGGGGGGCATGCACACAGAAGGTTTTTTACTATAGTGCATAGAATGCTTGAAGGTTAAAAAACCTTCAGCCTTTTGAGCCACTTTAAGAAAAACGAGGTTATAAAGAGTGTAATATAAAGTGAATACAAAAAAAATCAGATTGTTCAAACATTTCTGATCTCTGCTAGACATGCTACACAAAATATTCAGGGGTGTGAAATATATAACTTTATGTTTTTAAGATGTTAACTTTTTGTGTTAATAAAATGATCATTGTCTTGCAGAGTGGGTAATAATGTCCCCTTTACACCAGCTTCATTTTCTGGCACAGTGTTGGGAAGCAGAGGGAGCTAAACGCTGACACGGTGGGTGTTATGGCTGGATCACGGATAAATGGAAGGCCTTAATTCCAAGCACCGTTGATCTGGCACCCTTCCTGAATTCTGCACTCATTACATTTCAAATGAAAATGTTTTCCTTGTCCCGCCTGAGACCCATGTCAAGTAATGGCAATGCTTGTCTAAATCCAGTGGTTATGTTTTCCATCAAGAAGAAGAAAGAAAGTCACAACATTTCATCAGTTCGTTTCACTCGACCAGGACGTAGAGAGTTATGTATGCTGTGCGGTGGCATGTGCTCCTTGTCATGAGATCCATGACCAACATGGAGAGCCCATCTATGCCTTTCCAGCCTGGTTCACACTACCGCCAGCAAATGCCAGCGAATTAAAGGCATTGCACGCTTTCAAACATTTCATTGTTATAACTATGTATTAGTGCAGTTATATTCCCTTTATCATTTGTTTTGCCTAACCTTGTAATGATAGGCTCAAATGTTGTGGCAGCAGTTTGTAGTGTCATGGCTGATCGATCCCCCTATGTCCATGTATTCATTCACTTAGCTTGTCCCTATTCACCAAGAGACATGCAGCTTTTTGCTCCAGGTCACATAGAGTGCAATCTATGTCCTGCCACTTCCTCTGTGTTACATCACAAATATGAAAGTGCTAATATGATGAAAGACTGCATGGTGAGCTCTCTGTTAATTGCCCTGCCTGTTTGTCAGATGTACAGTAACTACTGTGTTACTGACCTAGTGGTCTCCTGCAGGTAATGGCGCGGGTTTGTCAGACGGATATAATAATCAGGACTGGTAACCTCTAGGCCTGGTGGCCGCTTTTCTGAATGGTTGATGATTAATGGACGGGGCACGTGTGGATGTGCAGTGGTGGATGACACCTACTATCCTTACTTAGTACCCTTTGGAGACAACTTCTATTTGTACTTTGCACAGACATGAGAGGATGATATTGCATTATTACTGCTACATCTATTATCGCTTTTCATCTGGGGAGTATCCACCCAGGGGAGTATCCACTCCCCCCCCATACTAATGAATGCCTCTGAATAAGAATCCAACCCTTGAATAGACCTGCAGGTGATGGAGTGGTTCATCAGAAGCATGGATCCTCAGGAAGTAATTATAGTGAAACGCGCTGATCCTACACACTAGTTATGTACCTCTATAATATCATTGTTAATTACATGCCAATATGACACTGACAGACCGCTTGGTTTTAACTGTGAAGTTGTTCTCACTTTTAACAGATGAACCAATAAAAATTTATACATTTCAGCACTTGTATTGTATTTAAATACCTTTCATTCCCATTGTTTGGGCACATATAAAATCTCATTTTACTGGAGATAGGACATGACCACCCTGATTTCAGGATGTAACTGTCCACTCCAGGGTGTTCTAGATACATGTCTGCTGATAGTTGTATACAGTCATGGCCGAAATTGTTGGCACCCTTGATATTTCTCCAGGAAATCATGTATTTCTCACGAAACGTATTGCATTAACACATGTTTTGCTATACACATGTTTATTCCCTTTGTGTGTATTGGGACAAAACAAAAAAAAAGGGAGGGAGGAAAGAAAGCAAATTCGACATAATGTCACACAAACCTCCAAAAATGGGCTGGACAAAAGTATTGCAACCCTTTCACAACTGCGGATAAATAAGAATGTTACAAGCATGTGATGCTCCTGTAAACTCACCTGGGGCAAGTAACAGGTGTTGGGCAATATAGAAATCACACCTGAAAGCAGATAAAAAAAGGAGAGACGTTCACTTAACCTTTGCATTGTGTGTCTGTCTGTGCCACACTAAGCATGGACAACAGAAAGAGGAGACGAGAACTGTCTGAGGACCTGAGAACCAAAATTGTGGCAAAATATCAACAATCTCAAGGTTACAAGTCCATCTCCAGAGAACTAGATTTGCCTTTGTCCACAGTGCGCAACATTATCAAGAAGTTTGCAACCCATGGCACTGTAGCTAATCTCCCTGGTCGTGGACGGATGAGGAAAATTGATGAAAGATTGCAACGCAGAATAGTCCGGATGGTGGATAAGCAGCCCCAAACATGTTCCAAAGACATTCAAGCTGTCCTGCAGGCTCAGGGAGCATCAGTGTCAGCGCGAACTATCCGTCGACATTTAAATGAAATGAAACGCTATGGCAGGAGACCCAGGAGGACCCCACTGCTGACACAGAGACATAAAAAAGCAAGACTACAGTTTGCCAAAATGTACTTGAGTAAGCCAAAAGCCTTCTGGGAAAACGTCTTGTGGACAGATGAGACCAAGATAGAGCTTTTCGGTAAAGCACATCATTCTACTGTTTACCGAAAACGGAATGAGGCCTACAAAGAACAAAAACACAGTACCTACGGTAAAATATGGTGGAGGTTCAATGATGTTTTGGGGTTGTTTTGCTGCCTCTGGCACTGGGTGCCTTGACTGTGTGTGCAAGGCATCATGAAATCTGAGGATTACCAAAGGATTTTGGGTCGCACTGTAGGGCCCAGTGTGTCAGAAAAGCTGGGTTTGCGTCCAAGATCCTGGGTCTTCCAGCAGGACAATGACCCCAAACATACGTCAAAAAGCACTCAGAAATGGATGGCAAAGAAGCGCTGGAGAGTTCTGAAGTGGCCAGCAATGAGCCCCAGATCTAAATCCCATTGAACACCTGTGGAGAGATCTTAAAATTGCTGTTGGGAAAAGGTGTCCTTCCAATAAGAGAGACCTGGAGCTGTTTGCAAAGGAAGAGTGGTCCAAAATTCCGGGTGAGAGGTGTCAGAAGCTTATTGATGGTTATAGGAAGCGACTGATTTCAGTTATGTTTTCCAAAGGGTGTGCAACCAAATATTAAGTTAAGGGTGCCAATACTTTTGTCCAGCCCACTTTTTTGGGGTTTTGTGTGACATTATGTCATATTTGCTTTTCTGCCTCTGTTTTATATTTGTTCCAATACATACAAAGGGAATAAACATGTGTATAGCAAAACATGTGTTAATGCAATACCTTTTTTTGTGTGAAATACTTGATTTTCAGGAAAAATATCAAGGGTGCCAACAATTTCGGGCCATGACTGTAATTGCTGTATAGATCCCATTTGCAGAGCACTAGACTGAGAGACCCAGGGATTGTGGGATAGATAGTTTCGCAGGAAGTGTCAGTTCTCACACTACAGAGAGAGGTGATGCATGAAAGTATATGTAAACCAGGGATTAACATTTCAAGTCCTGAGCTAATAGCCAGGCCTTAAGAGTTACTCGCCACCAGCAAACACACACAAACAGAGACACCTGTACACACACACAGACATGTACATACACACACACACACACACACACACACACAGAAACATGTACACACACGCACAGAGACACATGTACACACACACACACATACAGACACATGTATACACACACAGGCACGTACAGACACACATACACACAGATACATGTACATACACATAAATACACACGCACATACCCACAGACACATGTACATACATACACAGACACATGTACACACAGACACATGTACATACATACACACAAACACATGCACACAGACACATGTAGACACACACATACATGTACATACACGCAGACAAACGTACAGATACACACATGTACATACACACAAACACATGTACATGCATACACAGACACACACAAACACACACACCCAAAAAAGTTGCAGTACTTCGTTGTTCACTCACAGAGATGAGTACTGCACTCTCTAGGGGGAGACAGAGAGCACAGCACGCACTCCTTCCTTTGCTTTCACTGAGCTCAGCTTTTGAGCAATCTGATGGCTCCCAGTGCCAATGACAGATCCGGCCTGAGCTCCGAGCCTGCTCAGCAAGACGGCCCTGGGGGACACACTGACCCGCACCATAATTTCCACTCGCCATTGGTGAGCAGGCGAGTGGATATTTCAAGGCCTGATGTAAACCCTCAACTTGTAAAACAACCCATAGAGTTTAAAACAGAAAAGAAAGTTGAATGGCTGTGCATGGGAGAATGTTAGGACAGGTCTGATCCAGGGGCGGACTGACCATTGGGGAACTCGGGCACTGCCCGAGGGCCTGGGGTCAGTAGGGGGCCCTATGAGATGTCCTTGGTACCTTTCATAGGCTTTTTTGGGTGTGGTTTGAGTGTGGGCAAGGACACAGGGGCCCCATGATCCCCTATTGCCCGGGGGGCCCCATGAGTTGTCAGTCCGCCCCTGGTCTGATCATTAGAGGAGAGCACAGTGAGTTCCCAGCACAGCTAGAGAACTGACCACACTGTGCTCTCATGCCTATTGTAGTTAGTTTTTGATAGGAAAGCAGAGGGACTGGCAGGAACATCAGGGATTTAATTAAAAAGAAGCAATACAAAGAGAACAGGGTATTTTTTTCATACAAATACATGATACAGCAGGCACATATCAGGAATATGAAATATTGGTTTACATATTCTTTAACTTGTAAAGTGTCATGCCTCATATTTCGATAAAAGCAGAAACCTCTGACATTGGAATGCCTAAAGATTTACTCTACTTTAGGCTATGTGTATGGGCAACAAATTACACCATCAAACTAAACGATTCATGCACATCTCGTAAAGGTGAAAAACACAATGTACAGATAGGAAGGTTTCTAATTCATTTAACAGCTGAGAAATACTGTGTCAAACAATCACCATGCATTTTAAAATGTAAAAGGAAAGTTATAAAACAATTTAATTTTACCACTTGGAGGTCAATAAGCTTTAAAGAAACCTTGTCTCCATTTCAAAAGAAAAAAAACAATTTGCAAAGGAAAGTAATTAAAGAAATATTTAAAAGTTTAAAAAAAAAAATAACAACCATGTCATACTTACCTTCTCTGTGCAATGGTTTTGCACAGAGCAGCCCTGAACCTCCTCTTAGGTCCTCTGCTGGTGCCCTTGGCCCCTCACTTCTGCCTAGTGCCCCCACAGCAAGCAGCTTGCTGTAGGGGCACCCAAGCAGGCTCACTCCTGAGCCACTGCTCTGTGTGTTCCAGAGGTGGGCTGTGCATAGGAGGATAACGGGTACTGATGAATCTGGGGGCTGCCAATTAGGGTTTGCAAGCATCTCTAGAAGGCTAGAGAATTCTTGGTGGCTGCGGTTGCACTACGTCACTAGTACTAGCCACCACATCAGCTTGTACTGCACTGCTGGTGTTCACAACTTCACCATGAGATACTGCAGTGCTGGTACCTAAAAGTATTTTGCTGTTGGTGCTTGCCAGATCACCAAAAAGTAGTGCAGCACTAGTAATTGCGCCCTGCTGCATCTGAGTATAACTATGTGTTTCTAGCACTCCAGCAATTTGGGGTCATGTACACCTGATTTTAGCAGGGACCTCTTCACTATTGTCCAGGCTAGTTGTCAGGGTGGTGCTCTTTTCTACAGGTTCATATTCTGAGCATGATTCTGACAGTGAGGCCTCCACTTTGCTCTCATCTATCATGATCAGAATCCTGTATGCCTCCTCATTAGTGTACCTTTTTTGGACATTTGGGTACTGACTACACAGGTATCTAGTGTCAACTGTGGGAAGAAGAGCTGTGATCTTGCTAATGCTTTGGTTTTGTGAACAATGTATCAGAGGTGGCAGTGATGAGAAAAAATATACTGGCATTGCACTTGTTGGTGTGGAGCTACACACACAAGTGCTGGCTGTGATCGGGGCTGATCCTGATAAAACTGCGGTTTTGAGGACACTATACTATTGGGGACACCAGTATAGTTCTGACCATGACCAGAATATGGGTTTTGAAAGACATTATACTAGTAATGGTGGTGATCAGCGACTTATATTGTGACTGAGATAGTGTGCCGGTTAATCAGGGACTGGCGCTAACTGACTCTGACACTATCTGACGTTGCTTTTGACAGTAATGCAGTGATCAGTGATATTACTATACACTATACTAATACAGCCCAGCTGGGTGACAGGGGTGATCAAGAGGGCATTCAAGGGGTTAATTGTGTGTCTAACATGGGTATTTGTGCTGCTTTTACTCACAGATCTGTCTAGATTTTCTCCTTGATCTTAGTTCTGAACAGTATCTGAGACCAGGGAGAAAGAACCAGCTAGATCATGTGTGTTGTGTTTACAAAAAAACACAGATCTCTATTCTGTGGTTGGCCGCACCGATCAGCAAAATCATAGGCTGTAGCTTGCTGACAAACTTGTGTTGTGTCCAACCACAACACAAAGCATTAGGGGGCAGGACGTAAACCAGGACATACAGGTACCTCACGGTGCTTGGGCACGCTGACAACCAGCAATAAAATTACTGTTCGCAAGTCGGCAAGTTGTTAAAAATATGTGCTGTGCTTATAAACAAAATTAAATATTACAAGAAAAAACATAAAGAAGTAAATATACTCAAATATGAACAGTATATGTTACCTTAAGTCCAAAAAGAAACATGCAAATAAGTCCCAAAAAAACTGTGACAAAGTCCAAGAAGAATCAAATAAAATATCCAAACATCTTTGTGCTGTGTCACAATAGCTCCTTCTATTTGTACTCCTCCACCAACTCCACTCAGTTGTGCTCTCAACGTGATAGGATGACCCTCATTACAAAGGTCAAAACAGCATGCTCATTTTAATCCCAGGACAAGCAATGGCAGACGAAGGATATGAACATCAGGCATCTCATCAAAAGGATTTTTTGAAAGGTTCCCTGAGCCCAGGGTTCACCATATAAAACCTTTTTTAGGCAGATGTACTTCCAACAAAACAGAGATTATATAGTGTTCACTAATTTCATGTAATAACAATATAATAAACTATACGCACTCACAAAGAATTAAAGTCACAAGCATCAGTGTTAAGGAGCCAGCTAGGAGCCAATCAGCAGCTTCAGTGCTTGTGTCTCACCTTCACAGCCACCACTTTCCAGTCATCCACCACTCTGCTCACTCTGAGACTGCAAGCTCTGGCCAACACGTTTCGTCAGTGTGACGTCATCAGGGGCATGGCTACCAAGGCCTTCCTACCAAGGTGAGAGCACACCTGAGTGGGGTTGGTGGAGGTCTGCACACAGAAGTTCTTGTGACACAGCATGGAGATGTTCAGATATTTTTAGTGATTCTTTCTGGACTTTGTCACAGTTTTTTGGGGACTTTTTTGTATGTTTCTTTTTTATCTTAATATTAAATGCACTGTTCATATTTGGGTAAATTTTTTTAAATTTATGTTTTTTTCTTTTATAACCACAGCACATATAGTTACACTATTACAGGAAGTGCCTGAACAAGCACCTTCATGGCAGGGTAAGCATATATTAGCACATATTATTTAAATGAAAAATGCAGATTTAAAACTATTTAAAATGATTTCTAAAATGACACGAACATATTAAAACTTATATAAGATTTGACTAATTTTATTTCCATGTACTTCAGTTTATGTAGGGCCATTACCCAAATGCAAGCATACAATTTACAGAATAAACCACATACAGTCAACTCAGATGCACTGTACTGTGTATAAACAGTATGTTGTGCACATTAAGTATTTATATATTTAGCACTAGTAAATTCTACTTAACATCTACACATAACATAACCTAAAAACCTAAAAAGATTTTTATTTAAAAAAAATAAAAGGGTGACGTTAATATACATTAAAAAATGGCAATAAGTAATAAGATCGTAAATAAAGTAAAAGAGTTTTCTGTTTTGGGTAGCTACAATAAAACAGCAGGATTGCCATGATATCTCTGCATATCCGATCAGATTTTAGTGTAGTAAATTGCATGTAATCCTTAATTCATGCAGTATGGTTAAAAGGTTCCACTTGGGGTTTTATGCAATCCTCTACAGTATTACAACTAAAATAAATGTGATTTTACAAGGAATAGTGTAATGACATAATGATATAGCCCCCAAAAAACCCTTTGAATAACTTAATTTATATGTGCTTTATTATTCTCTAGATAAAAGGCTTCTCAATATAAAATGAGTACTGAGTTCAAACTTTTAAAATATTCACATATTTACATCAATTTTTAAAAGGTTTTATAACTAATGAACTTGGATTTCTTGTGGCATGGCATAAAATCCATTTATACAGTTTTTAATTAAGAATGCAGCCTATGCAATTAAAATTAAGAGGGGAGACTGTGTATGATGTCCTGTGAGATCCTCAGTCCAAAAAATTATGTTAATGCTTTATGTCCTAAAAGCATCCTTTGAATCTTAGATTACACGTCAAGAAGCAATTTTTCTTTTGGAATAGAATTTATTTAAAAGGTGATAGTTTTATTAAAAATATTTGTTAATTATTCATTTTTACTTACTTTCTGTTTACTTAGTTTACAGACTTTAAAATTAAAGCATCTGTCAAACTTTTTTTTTTCTATAAATGTTTTAGAAAGAATTTGAAAAAAAAAAACATACTGAATGAGAAGATAAGTGAATTGCTAATGAAGGTTTTAATATTTAAAATAACACGAGTTTGTGTTTAAATACATTTTAAAAAATACCATTATTAGTATCTAAAATATCAATAATATATTATAAAGTGAACTTTTTAAACATTTTTGCAAAAAATGTTTTTTACATCTGTTCAATTTAACTTGAAAAAATAAAATAAATACTCTAAAAGGGAACTTGTATATGAGAAAATGCTACTTAATTACAGTGTATTTATTAACATCGAATACATCACAAACATAATCAGTTGGTAGACAGGATTTGTTTTTCCCAGAACCCTTTACCCCAGCTCCTGTTATGCGCTCAGTGCCTCTCTGTGATGTCTGCACATAGATTAGGTC